GCTATTCTGCACAAGGTGGCTTTGCTAACATACGCTCATCAAATGCACGTGTGGAAATAGAGCTATATGGTCACTGTTTCACGCAGTCATTAACCTATTTAATCAAGCATGCACATGCACAAGAGAGAAACTCACCACTTTTTCACTGGCATCTGCAAGGAACGCAGGTCTTTCCCAACATTTTGCTGGATGGATTACTCCAGGTGGAGGATGGGCTGAGAGCTACTCAAGCCCAAAATATGCCAGAGGTAACTGGAACATTCACCAGAATGCCTCAGCACACAGAGTTCTAACACAGGGTGCCACTGGCTCAGGGAAGGTCATTCCTGGCTGCAGCAGGAAAGTGGGTTTGCTTTACAGAGGATAAACAGGAGGAAATCCCTCTTACGCAACAAGGGCAGTTTTTTCACTGGGTCGTCTGTTCGTGCCTTGGACTGTCACATTTTGGAAAAAAGCCATCTCTTGCTCCACCTGGAGAAAACTCACAGCACAAAGCTGTGGGACTTTTGTTTCGTTTTGTCTTTTTTTTTTTAATTATCCAGGGCTCCCAGCACGGCCCTGCAGCCCTGGAAGGTGACCACCCACCCACCACAGGGCGCCCATGAGGTGGTGCCAAGATGGCCGCCAGGGCAGTTGCCATGCAAGCGTCCTCAGCCCCTGGGGTCAGCCATGTTGGGTGCAACAGCCCAGGTGAGGCACTGGGAAGGCCAATGCCACCATCGCTGTTGTACAGCGTGGGGCCTGCTGGGGGGTGTCCATGAGGCAAGGGCTTTGCAAAAGAGGATAGGATACCTCAGGGGAGCTGATCAGGCGCATTTCCATCACGCACATGGAAAACAGCCTGATATGGGTGTCAAGCACAGCCGTGTCAGAGGCCACAAGTGTGGCGGGCAACTGAGGAGCAGCATGCTCCCTTCAGCGACCTTTGTGGTGCCACTGCCCGTCCATCTGCCTATAGGTGGATGCAGAAAGGGATTTGTGGTGGTGCTGGTAAAAACATGAACCGTGACCTACAAAATAAGAGAAGGTGCTTCATAATTCAGAAAGGGTTTAGCAGCCCAGAAGAACTAAACACAGCAGGTATTTATTTACACTGTGAGGTTGCTGCCCTCTGCATGGGGCTGCCTGAGGCACTGAGGGACCCCTCAGGGTTCTTCCCTGGCATGTGCACCAAAGGAGAGGAGTGGAGACAGCTTCTGAAGTGGCCCAAAGCAACAGCAGCTCCTCCTCCCAGGAGAAAGCAGCACTATCTTTCCCTTCCTTATCTCCTGCACAAGCAAACATGTATGTTACCTTTAACTGATCTTACCTGCTTCCCACTGAGAGAAACGGATGAAAACAGCACATCTGTATATTGTGCTGCTACATCCATACACCTGTGGCAACTTAAATGTTTCCCTCATTTTTTGCTTTTCCTTTTTTTTTTCCCCACTGAAGATCTTTTGGCTCCTCACCCAAAGAGCAGAGAAGGTGAGCAAGGTAAAGGCACAGGGAGCGATGTATTTGAAAATAGGACACACACTGGATTTTTCTTCCGAGACTCCAACTAAAGATACCTGGCAAAAAAACATGGCTCAACACAGGAAAATGCCACCACATAACTGTAGTCATAGTCCATAGTCCTGAAGGAGATACAGTGAAAAGAGAACACACACTAGCTTCTATAGCAGGATTGATAACTCTTTGTACTTCCAAGGCATTATGAGGATACAGTAAACTTTATTACTATATTACCATCTTCTCTATATAGAACTGCCTGAGAAATAAAATGGGATGAGAGAGAGAACTGGAAAAAGGGTGAAAGTTGTTCTTCGAGATAAAGACAGTTTAATAGGATGAAAAGGAAGGGTTAATAATGATTCAGTGATGCCCAGCCAGTCCCTGAGCAGTGGGCAACCACCTTCCGGCCAACTTCCCCCAGGTTTTTTGTTCAGCATGACACCATATGGTTTGGAATATCCCTCTGGTCAGTTGGGGTCAGTTGTCCTGGCTGGGTCCCTTCCTAACTTCTTGTGCACCCCCAGCCTGCTTGCTGGCAAAGGCAGCATGAGAAGCTGAGAAGTCCTTGACTTAGTGTAAGCAATGCCCAGCGTCAACTAAAACATCCCTGTGTTATCAATCTTATTCCCATCCTAAATCCAAAACACAGTGCTATACCAGCTATTAGGAAGAATGTTAACTTTATCTCAGCTGAAACCAGGACAATAATGGTAAATACTAAACAATACTAAATGCTACCTATAATTTTCTGCCTTGTTGGAGCTGGACTAATTTTCCACCAGATGACCATGGAAACAGCTTTAATAGAAGCTGCAGTGAAAAGCTGGACTGGGGAGAAAACTCTTCCCTGTGCTCTTGAAGGATGCATCCTGCCTTCACTTTCAGGGCTGAGATACCTCTGTCAATCATGGAAACCACAGGAAAGGCTCTAAAGAGACAGAGGACAAACCTCAACTGGTGCAGGACTGCAAAACAGCACCAGTCACTGTTCAAGAGATAGGGAAGGGGCTGATGATTTGTGTCCTCCTCAGCAACCCACAGCCCCTTCTCACCTGCAAGGCCAGTTTTGGGTTTCTGGGTTGGGTTAGTTTAGTGGAGACTTGGGTGGAAAGGTGGGTAGTTTGGGCTCTTCCTTACCTCTCTTGGCAGAACCCTGCTTGTATCCAGAGCAGCCTGTCCCAGGTGTGGCTGGAACCTGTGGGCACAGTTTAGCCAGCCTTTGCAGTGTTTTTCATGTAGCTTTGAGTTTACAGGGCGAAGAATTGTGGCTGTTATGGGGCAAGAGTGCCCCATAGCACTAGTGTCTCACTAGTGCAGGGTATGCTCAGGGCCAGGTTTTGGCTGTGCTGCCATTTAATCCTCTCCCTGTTTTGGCCTCCAGGCCCTGCTAATGTAGCATGGTCATTTCCTTCCCTGTTGCTTTGAATGTTGCTCAAGGAGGTAAACTTTTCCTTGCCTCCCTGGAAGCAAACTTGAAGAGAGTGCTTGCCCAAGTTCCCTGATCCAGCAGTTTATTCACTTTCTGGTATCTCCCTGAGCAACTTCCCGGCCCTCTGGACAGTGTCCCTCAGTGTTAGGCAGGACTGAACTTGCCCTGATTCAAGGCCTCATTCAAGAAGGAACTGTGCCATGGATGTGCTGGGCCCATGGGGAACAAAAAGCAGAAAGCACTGGGGTCCCAGTGACACAAGTATGGTATAGGAACGAGACAAGTTACCATGAAGAGGAGTCACCCATGGCTTAGGACAGAAGGATGGAAGAATGAAGTATGAAGTGCACAAGGACAGGAACAGAGTGTCTGGGGCTGGGCTGAGCACCACATCCCCACAGATCACAACCAGCAAGGGATAAGTCAGTTGTGCATTAACAACTCACACCAGTGGCAAGGATGAGAAAGCAGTGACAGGGACATCCAAGCGCTGGTACAAGCACCTCAGCAACAGCCGGCCCTCCTCTCTGGTGCCGTCACTCACGTCGGCTTGCATCCGCAGGAGAGATGCTCTTCCCTCCCTTCCCAGACACCCACCTCTCGCCGCCCTTAAGCTGCTCTGCCAGCTCCCACCTCACAGTTTTCCCCAGGAGTAGGAGAGCTCGGAAGCCCCTTGGTGAAACCAGAGCTGCTGAGTTTGGAAGGGGTTCCACCTGTGGCGCCTCACCGCCCCCCTGGCAGCGCTGTGGGACACTCGGTGTCGGGATGCCGGGAATCAGCCCAACCCTGCGGGGCAGGCGGGGCCCGGTGCGGGGGGCGGGAGGCGTGACCCCAGCTGCGGAAGCGCTCCTTGCCCGGCCGCTGTGCAACAGGTTTCGGCCGCAGGGCCGGGTGGGCTGGAGGGTGGCAGGCAGAGGCAGTTCCAGCTCCGGAGTTTATCGAGGCAGAAGCAGGGCACAACTCCCCGCGCCTCCCGAGGGCGAGCACAGCCGTCCCGAACTCTTCCCTGCACCCTCCCGCCGTGCGCACTCAGGAGCCAGCCTAGCCAAGCTCCCGCCATGCCAGCTGCCGTGTCACGCCGCAGGAACGGGGTCCGGCCGCCCGGCGGGAAGGCTGGCAGCCTGGATCGGCACGACTCTGCACGGCGTGGGTCGGCTCTGCTGGCATCCCCTTCCCGCTCCCCTACAGCCGCCAGCATAGCCGCTGCCCGGGCTGGGGCAAAGGCAGCGCAGGGGAGAACAGCAGGCTGGTCCCACCTCGCCAGGGCAAAATGGGAAAGAAACGGGATCTTGATCCGTGCTTTCTGTTTTTCTTTTGTCTCCTCTTTTTTTTTTCTTTTATTTCTCCTTCTTTTTTCCTTTTCTTTTTTCTTTTTTTTTGGGGGGGGGGGGGCGGCGGTGGGAGAGGTTGTCCCTTCCTATGACAGCGAGGGTACAAGGCGAGGGAGGAGGCGGGCTCGCCTCGGCGGCCGCCGTGTCCTGTGCGAAAGGCGCTCGGGGGTTCATTAATATCATTAGCATGTAACCCCCTCCCCGTGCCCGCGCGGGGTGACGTCACGCGGCGGCGGGAGCTGGAGGGAAGCAAGGGGGGCTCAGTGGGAGAGGGGCGTCCCCTCCCCGCACCGCCGCTGTCACTGCCTCTGCAGCTATTATAGGGGCCGAAGCCTGGAGCTCAAAGCGCAAAGTCAGCCAGTGTAATGAACTTCTGGAAACCTTTCCCTTTTTATACCATTCAGTTTCTGAGAGGCAGAGACAGCCTCCTCTGACGCCTTTTCCCCCCTTCCATTCTTTTTTCCAGGCTCTGATCTCCCTGTTCGCTGCACCCAGGCGCTCGGCGCGGAGCCCCGCTCCCCATCCCACCTTCTCCTTCGCCTCATTGTTGTCCCTGGCTGCTGCGGCTCCCGCTCGTCTTCCAGGAGCCCGGCAGCGAGCCCGCCCGCATTCCCCGCACCTTCCGAGGTCCCAAGAGCAGCTGCTCGCAGGGGCGAGCACCGGCTTTGGGCCATTTCGTTGCTTTTCCTTTTTCTTTCTTTTTTTTTTTTTTTTTTCTTTCATTTTGGCTCCTTCCCCCCCACTGTTTTGCCGCCTTCCCGCAGCGTGCCCCCATCCCTCGGAGGAGCGGGGCAGCGGCGAAGATGCGCCGGTCCCCTCGGCGGAGCCAGCAGTGAGCGCCCGAGGGAGGCACCTGCCCCGCGGAGCCGCCGCTGCCGCCGAGCCGGCGGGCAGGGAGGGGGGAAGAACACGGGGGGGGACACACGGACAGCGGCCTCGCCCCGGCACCGACACTTCGCCCTGAGTTTAACGACTCCGGGGCCTTCGAGCATGAGCAAGCCGGCGGGATCAACAAGTGGGTAATAACGCGGTGGAGGCTTCGAGCAGCCTTTCCCAGACCGGCTGCAGCTTGGCCTGGGGGGCGGGAGATGGAGGGAAGGGAGAGGCGGGGGATGTGTGTGTGTGTTGTAGTTTGGGTTCTCACTCCCTCCCCATAAAAAAAGTGTGTATTTCCATCCGGAGTGGCAATATACCGGCTCGGAGTTGTCCCGATGGAGTTTGAAGGCCCGGGGATTACAAAAAGCCGCTTTCCCGCGGCCCGGCCCTGCTTTCCGCGGCGGGACCAGGAGCAGCGAGCCCCGGGAAAGGCAGCGGGGATGGGGTTTGTCCTGCCGGGGTGCGGGCGGTTTGTTCGCGGGTCTCCGGTACTGGAACGGAGGGAAGAAGGTTTGGGTTTAAAGGGCGTTATGGAGTTGAAACGTGCTGTTTTTCTTACGGACTTTATGCAGTCTTCTGCGGCACAATAATTTCTTTTTAAGAGTTTGAAACTCTGGTCACTCAATTACACGGGATCACGTAAGCAGCTCTATGGAAGGAGGATTTAAATGCAATACTTTGCGCACCATTTCCAGTTACAACAAATAATCCTGCAACGGGGAAAGCAGAAACAAAAGTCACATTTTTGTTAATCCTAAATCCATACACCTCATAACTAGGGAATTTAAAGCATGACTAACCGCTCTTGCAGAATGGCTCAATCCGCATAATCCCAATGGGACTTTCGGAGTTTGTAATATGGATGGAGTCAGTAACAAAGGGGGGGGAAATACCCAATCCAATTTAATGTCTGACAAGTGATGGATCGGACAGATATTTCCTCCGCGCTCCGGCCGGCTCCAGGGCTTGCGGAGCGGCGGAAAAACGGAAGCAGAGCCGGGAGGGACCGGCCGCTGTACCTGCCGCCGGCCTCCTCCCGGCCCTGCGGCCTTCTCCACACCGCTGCTCTCCGTTATCTTGACCCGGGCCCGCCCTTTGTCCACGGGGGCCTGGATCCGGCGTGTGTGTGTGTGTGTGAGAGTCGAATCCCGCGGCGGAGGGGCCGAGGGCAGGCGGGGGCCGCGGCTTGGAGGAGGCGGACAGGCGGCGCGGAGACCGCAGGGCCCGGGGCTGCGGCCGGGCAGCCGTTTCGGTGTGGGTTGGATTGCCGTTCCCCCCCGTGGGGCTGAGCGAGGAGTTTTCCGAGCAAAGCCCCCGAGAGGGAAAAAAATAATAATAACGAAACGAGTAACGGGGTGCGGTGGAGGTAAGAACCGGTGGAGGGGAAGGGACAGAGGCGGCCGAGGCTGCTTCTCGCCGCCTGCGCTGCCGGACTGCCCGGTAAGTGAGAAGGGAGCCGGTACAGGATCAGGCCCCTGAACAGCCGCGTCTGGACGTTGTCGGGTGCCCGGACAGAGATCTGAGTGACGGGGCAGGAAGGGCCTGGGGGCTTCGTCCCCAGAGGATGGAGGAGCTTCTGCCGGAGACAGGCAGGGCAGAAATTCCGCAACGCTGGACCGCGCTACACGGCGCTGCGCGACCCCGGCCTCTGCCGCCGCTTTCACTGCTTATTCTGAACCCCTGCAGGCGCCGGGCACCCGCCCGAAAGGGATCCCCAGGCCGGACCAGGCCAGGCTCCGCGGGGAAGGGGACAAGAGGGGCCTGACCCGGGCCGGGGCCCGAGTCCAGCCGGCCTCGGCAGCGCATACAAAAGTCCTGCTCGCTGTCCAGGGGCCTGGGCGCCCGTCTCGGAGGTCCCGGGAGGTTCCGGGGGGCTCCCAGGCAAGGGGTCTCCAGCCCAGCCTTTCTGCGCGCCGGTGGCCTCCTGTCGATGTTGTCTGCGACGTCTGCTTGGGTGGTAACAAGACCCCGTCCCACCGTCCACAGAGCCCAAAGTAACTTCTTTCAACAGCCTCTGATGGTAATTACAGTAATAGGGGCTGCCATATATCCTTTAAGCAATTATGACACACAAAAAAAGCCCCCAAGGACCCCCTGTCGTGGGATGTTCAAAACGGTTTCCCAGCTGAACAGAAATCCCATTTTCTTAGTGCTAAACTTCTGAGACGAAGCTGTACCTCGGGGAACCAGAGCACTTTTAAACAGAGTTCACCGGTTATCTCATGACCCCGTGTCAAGCTTACATTTTTCTCCTCCCACACCCCCTGCCCTGCCTGTTCCCCGTCTACTTGTTCCATATTTTGCCCTCTACGAAAGTTTTCTCATAACAGGCTCCGTGGGGCGCGTAGGGGTGCAGAACGGGGCAGGGATTGCGGCGGGACGGGGCGGCCCGGCTCCAGCCGCTCCCGCCAGCCTTGTCGGTGCTTCCGTGTCCCCCCTTCCCCGTCCTCCGGCTCCTGGGGGGCCACGGAACCTATCGGACAGGCCGCGCCTCTCCGACCGCTGGAAACGTGCTTGTTTGAGTTTGGCAAGGTGCTCCAGGTGCGCGGGTTTTGTGGACTTGTAAGGAGTACACGGAACTGATGTTCACATACATGGTGTGGATATGGACCTATATAATGCATATGATTTTTTTTTTTAAAGCGACTTTCAAACTTAAAATCCGTCTGGGGAAAAGTGGTTTGGAAAACTAACCCAAGTTTCTCTCCTCCCCGCTCCCCGCTTTTAGCGTCGAGGGAGCCGAGCCGGCTGCCCCGTGCCGCAGGCCGGCCGGAGGAGCGGGGATCCCCGGCTCTGCCCGGTTCCAGGGACGGCGGACCCCTGGCCCACCCGCTGCTGAGGGAAGGCGGGAGAGGGGGGGTCCCCGGTGCCTGTAGCGGCGGCGGGCCGCAGTGCTCGGGGGGCAGAGCGGGGCTCTGCTCCGGGATGCAGCACCGCTGCACGTACCGCTTCAGTGTCTCTCCCCTGACCCCGAGCCTGCCCCTCCTCCTCCTCCTTTGTGTGCGTGCGTGTGGACCCCCTCTCTCCCCGTGGATGCTAAGGGCTGGAGAGGGAAGTCGAGCGCTTTCCTCCGTTGGCATTGTGCGATATCCGAATTCCCATGCTACACTTTTTGACGGGTCACTGGTGCCCCAATAGGCAGGTGGCAAGGAGGGCTTGTAATTACACACTCCCAGAAACCGTGCCTTGGCCTCAGCCCTCCTCACGGGCGCCTACCTGCAGCTCCAAAGCCGCGGCTTGCTAGCAGGCGGCGGGGCGGGGGGGCGGGGGCTTCCTTTGGCTGCGCTCCTTATTAATTGCGTAAAAGTTTTTTATTCTTTAACCTTTCTCAGTCCCTGCCTCTCTCCCACTTTCCCTCCCTCCCTCCGCCACCCCTCCCTCTCGCAGCTCCTAACCTAATCCCCGTCCTTCTCGCCGTGTTGTGTATAGCAGCTGTCGGGTTTCATTTAGGGGAGAAGCTGGCAGCTTGTGCTCATTGGAGGCAGTCAAACGAGTTTCAATGGGCAAAATCATTAAGTTAACACTATCTAATGTCCCTATTGTCTGCCAGCAGGCATTGTCTTAGAGCCTTAGAGTAGACATGTCTGAAAGTATCTCGGACTCCTAAATTCTCTAGGGAGCGAGAGGAGCCCCTGCGGCCTGTTTCCATCACCTCCCTCCCCCTCCCGCCCCCCCAGCAACGCTTCGCACCCCTCAGCACGCTGCCGCCTCCCCCCTTCCAGCCCTCACTCCCCGCCACCCGCAGCCGGGGCTCTTCCTGAACTACTTCGAAACAAAGATAGCGGCGCCGAGAGCTCTCCATTCGAGTTTGTAGACCAAGGTTTGGAATGAATCTCCAGTTTAAGTTCTGGTAGGAGGAAGGAAGGCTGTTTAGGGTGAAAAAGAAAGAAGAGGAGAGGAGAGGAGAGGAGAGGAGAGGAGAGGAGAGGAGAGGAGAGGAGAGGAGAGGAGAGGAGAGGAGAGGAGAGGAGAGGAGAGGAGAGGAGAGGAGGGAAGGGAAGGGAAGGGAAGGGAAGGGAAGGGAAGGGAAGGGAAGGGAAGAGGAGAGAGAAAAGAGAAGAGAAGAGAAGAGAAGAGAAGAGAAGAGAAGAGAAGAGAAGAGAAGAGAAGAGAAGAGAAGAGAAGAGAAGAGAAGAGAAGAGAAGAGAGAGAAGAGAAGGGAAGAGAAGAGAAGAAAGAGAAGAGAAGAGAAGAGAAGAGAAGAGAAGAGAAGAGAAGAGAAGAGAAGAGAAGAGAAGAGGAGAAGAGGAGAAAGAGGGAAGGAAAGGGAAAGAGTAAAAGAAAGGAAAAAGAATAAAAGAATAAGGAGAAGATAAATAGAAAGAAAAAAATAGAAAATAAGAAGTAAAAGTAAATAGAAAAGCCGGAGAAAATGGAGAAGCCGGCGAGGGTTTGGCGGGTTTCTTGACCCAGGCTGGACTCTGTGCGAGTCTCTACATTGACACTCCGAGCATTTCCAACTGCAGCCCTCCCGCCATCCCCACACCCCGGCCCGCAGCTTCGACCACGCACAAAGGCGAGGCGGAAAGTTCTGCTGCAGGTTTTGGGGTGAAGAAAATGGCACCCCTCTTCTGTGCCAGGAACAGGGCTCCTCTTGCTGAGATTGCGAGCAGGGGGAGGAGGTCACTTAGCTCCCAGGTCATTTTATTTTGTTTGGGTTTATTCCGCGCCTTCGTGCCCCGAGTGCTCTCCTGACCAGGGAAAGCACCGACTTCTGTCTGCCGAAAGCCAGAAAGCGGGGGGAACACCCTCCGCCCTCCTCCCGTCCCCTCGTGCCCCCCCCCCCCCCCCCCGCATCCCCACTTCTAGCAGGCAAGTCTGCTGCTCCCGCGGCTATAATCTTCCCTTCCAAAATGGGTCTTGGCGATTATAGAAGATCCAAATAAACGTAGCGGGGCATGAATAATGCTCATTGTAGAAAACTGACACTTGCTCAAGGAAAAGAAAGTTGGCTATAAAATCACTTCATTATTTGCTTGTACTGCGGCTCTGGGGCTAATCCCTCCGGAGGTCAGACTGCTGAGCTCTCTCCCTCTCCCCCTTCTCTGCTTTCAGGTCGCATTTTAGACATCCCTTGCAAAGTGTGTGGGGACCGCAGCTCCGGGAAGCATTACGGGGTTTACGCCTGCGATGGGTGCTCCGGTTTTTTCAAGCGGAGCATCAGGAGGAACAGGACCTATGTTTGCAAATCGGGCAATCAGGTACCTCACCGCCTGCACTTCTTACCCTGCTTTCCCCAGGACTCCGCATTGCCCCCCCCCCCCCCCCCCCCCCCGTCAGCAGGAGCACCCGCAGCGGTACGATCCAGCTGCCGCACAGCTGGATCTCCCTCCCTCCCCGGGGGGGCTTTAGGTCCGAGGCCGGTCGCTGAGTCCCCTCTCTCCGGGGAGGATGGGGGGATGAGCCAGGAGGGAGCGGGGATGGCGGCGAGGGCAGGCGTGCGGCCAGCTCACCGACTTGTTACACGAGGGAAGAGGGGCAGCCCTTCGGTAAGCCACCGCCCGTAGCCGGTCGATGGACAGCCCGCGGGTCACTCCTCTTTTTCCCCTTGCCGCTCCGGCCGCACTGATTCCCACCCTGGCCCGGATCCGCGGGGATGCGGGAATGGGGACGCGGGGAGCGGGGTGGGGGCACGATGGACCGGGACTGGGGCGCCCCGAGGGGGCGGTGCCGCCGTCGCTGTCTCGGGTGCTGAAGGCGGCCCAGCCTGCCCCGCCGCTGGGCCAAGCAGCCCGATACGGCTCGCACTGCTCGGCTCCCCCCGGCGCCCTGCCAGGGGCAGCCCCTCCGTACCCGCCGCCGCCGCCTCTGGGACGGCTGCTGGCAGAGCACGCTGGTCCCCCCGCCTGACGGCTGGCTATGTGGCAGGGAGGCTGCCCGGTGGACAAGACGCACAGGAACCAGTGCCGGGCCTGCCGGCTGAAGAAGTGCTTGGAGGTCAACATGAACAAAGACGGTACCTGCTCCCCCTCCCCCGGGGCCGGGGCGGCGGGGAGGCAGGAGGGAGACGAGCCTTGCTGTGAACTGGGGAGCGGTGTGTCCCTGCGGGGTCTCCCCTTAGCTCCCCGGGCCCCTAATAATCCTCTCCCTCCCCTTGCCATGCCGCAGCAGCCTGTTTCTCCCAGACGCTCCCCGGGTGGGGGTATGGGACTGGCCCCAAAAACCTGCCAAGAGGGAGAGAAGCCCAGTGGAGCAGTGTGGGGTACTCGGTGTGTGACCCTGCAGTGACCCCCTTGCCTCTTCTTGGTACCTGCAGCAGTGCAGCACGAGCGGGGCCCCCGGACATCAACAATACGGAAGCAGGTGGCTCTCTACTTCCGCGGGCACAAGGAGGAGAGCAGCAGCGCTCCGCATTTCCCTGCTGCCGCCCTGCCAGCACCTGCCTTCTTCACCACTGTCTCCCAGTTGGAGCCACATGGCCTGGAGCTGGCTGCCGTTGCTGGCACACCAGAGAGGCAGGCTCTGGTGGGCCTGGCGCAGCCCACCCCAAAGGTCAGCCACTGCCCTGGTCCCTGGTGGACCTGCAGGCCTCACTGCCAGGGTGCCTGCAGCCCATCTGCTCTTTCCTGTCTCCGGGGTAGGCATGGCAAAATGTTGTGGGGTTACTCTTTTGTTATGTCCTTAAAAGTTTGAAGATATGGGGTACAAGGGCTAAGAGGCTCTCTGCAGAAGGAATATGCAGAAGGACTGACTGATAGCCTGCTCCATACAAAACCTGCTTCTCCTACATCCTTACACCTTCATGGTTGCAGGAGTGCTATCCCTGCCTGGAGTGGTCCATTCATAAGCCAGTTTTAATGCTTGATTTATGAGGAATGCAGTCACTGAGTTTTCTTAGTAAAATGCCCATCTCCACAGTGGTGTAGTCCAGAAGGTACTATCTGTAGCAACCAAAGCCTGCAGCTTGTCCACACAGGCATCATCATGTCTAAGTTGTCTCTGTGCTTTTGGGCTGTAACATTTCCTAAGTAGCCCAGTGGAAGCACTGCTGTGGCCTCAGCTGCATAGGTGATAAAGTGATGTTTATCATTAAGTAATTTGCAATAATATTTTGTGTATTTACAGCACTTAGAAAACTGTAGAAGAGACTGCTTAACTAGTTCTGCATTTTCAGAGTAGCTTGGCAGAATCCGTCATGAACATGATCACAGTGTATAGTTTTATATCGTAATTTTGGAAAATACCGAATGAGAAATTATTTAGCAAGAAAACAGAGCACATGTCACTCCATTCCAGCCCTACAAAACCTTTAGGTAGTTATGCTTAGCTCTACACATCTGCTTACTGCCTATTGCAGTCAGGGAGCTAGATGAAGGTTAAGGCTAAACAAGTGGTTACTGTTTTGCTGAGCAAAGGCAGGAGTGCTAAATCAGCTTCTGAAGCAAAGGTTACAAAACACAAACTCTAATCAAATGTGTAGCCTTTTAATTCTATTAGGGGTGCTACTGTGTAACAGGGTAAAGGATGACGTCACATTTTGGTAATTCTCCCCCCTCCCTCCCCGCCCCTCCTCCTCCCTGATGTAATAATTTAATTCTCCTTTCCACCTCCTCTGGAGAACTGTTTCTGTAGTACAGTTCATGCACACGGATGCGCAGCAGAGAGCATTTGGGGTGAGCCCGCTGAAAGCAATGCCCTCTGCTTGCAGAAGAAGAGAGTGCACACTCTGTATTGGGCATGAGCATGATGCGCTGAACGGCAGCTGTAGGGGAGAGGAAGATGAGGCTGCCTTGGTGACACTGTATGAAGTTCCTTTATTTTCTTTTTGACGTTAGTACCCCCATGAAGTCAATGGTACCCCTATGTATCTCTATGAAGTGGCCACCGAATCCGTCTGTGAGTCAGCAGCCAGACTTCTGTTCATGAGCATCAAGTGGGCCAAGAGTGTCCCAGCCTTCTCCACCTTGTCCTTACAAGACCAGGTAAGACACCTGCGGTGTGAGAAGCATTGGCTTGGCCTGCCTGTTAAAGAAGGCTCAGAGCTCAGACTGGATCCTGAGCCTTCAGCCCTAGACCTTTAAATCCTTAATGGACATCAGAAGTTCTGAAGTTTAGGGCAGAGTTCTGGTCTGTCCCTGAAAACCAGGCAGTGATTTAGAAACAGCTTTCCTCCAACTTTCATTCCATGAAGCAAATGAAAATCAAGCCGGAAAAAAAAACAACAAACAACCCCCAAACAAACAAACAAAAAACCCCAAACAAACAAAAAAACCCAAACAAACAAAAAAAAAAACACCAAACCCAAACAACTAATATAAAGCATATATTATGGGAGGACAAATTCTAGAGGAAAAGTCACCAGGCTATGACAGTCAGGGAGTGACTGAGGTGATTTCTGAGGACCAGTCCTTTCCTCCCCTCTCCTTTCCTCTCCTTTCCTCTCCTCTCCCCTCCCCTCCTCTCTTCCTGTTTACGTAGCCAACATTTTTTCCTTATTCATGTCGGCTTTAGTGAACTTAAAATTACCCCAATATGGTGGAAGCAGAATTTGGCCACCCCCCAGTATTTTTCACCATTAATTAAAATCACCCCTAATTTGTCTTGTTTTCCTCTATGACAATTTGCCTTTGCTTTGAGTAAATCGTATGTGAACCATACGAGCTGAAGCAATTTCTTAATGACTTGATTCTTGATGAAGACACAGTGTGCTTTGTATAATGCATTGATTTTTTAAAAAAGTAATCAGATGATTATAAACTGGAAGGGGGAAAATCTACACAAAGCTCCAATCATAAAAGACACCTAATACTTTGATATGATTGAGCTAATTTCCCTAAATGGTAACGAGAAACGTTGTGCCTTAGATGTTACGTAGCAGTCTTCAGAGGAACTAGTTCCTTTCTGTAGATGCATGTTGCGAGGATTGCAGTTGATATGCAAATACACATTTTGAACTGAAAGAAAAGAGCTTCTTAGGAAACCAGTAGTGTTTTCTACCTAAAGGTAAATCATGATGGTCCGAACGCACTATAAAGCTGAGGTACATTGAAATGTTCTCTTCCTAGCACCAGCCCCGTGGTTTGAAATCCTTGCCGTGAAATCAGTCAAAGGGGGTCGCTGTTCAGCTCTGGCTGCAGCGAGAGCATGGGAGGAGCAATGAGGTAGACCCCAGGAGGCTACACATGCCGGTAGCAAGGCAGCAGGCCCGGGGCGGCTGTCTTCTGCAGCCACCACTCCTGTGGAGCACCGGGTCTATCATATCTAGCAACCAAAGAAACAGGCCCAAATATCAGGGACAAGCAGCATGTGTGCCACTTCAGCAAAAGCCTCAGTACACCGGAAGGAGCCAGGTCTGTCTTTAGGCCAGTGACGTTCACAGGAGGCTCCTAAGGCTTTATTTTAAGTAATATGGATATGTTTCCCACAAGGTCATTGTCTCTGTTAGTGTGCAGAGGAGGGGGCAGCAGGATTTGGGGGCAAAGGAAGTCTCCATTGCACATGATTAAGCGTGCCTCAGATAGCACACCCTGCATATCCACCATACATGCCAGAGTGCTTCCATTATCTTTAAATAACCTGCTGCCTCTTTCACTCATATCAGGGACTAATGTTAGTGAATTACACATTAAAATCTCAGCCTTTCCTTAACATCACGTTGACTTGCTGTACCTCACTGCAAGCCAGCTTCCTCAAAACTCAGAGCTGCTCAGCTCCAAAGCTTTGACTGAACCTCTTTCTGCATGATTCCCTTGTCATCTTTAGGAGAGCTGCAGAAGAAATAACTCTGATTTTAATAATCACCATATTTCATCAATAATCAGTTGATTTTTATAATCATGCCATTGCATTATTTAATGTGACAATGGCCCAGCTGTAAATGTCTGCATTTCTCTTTTTGTATCCCTGACATTTGCCTGAGAAGAGTCTAAAACCCTTTCCTGGATTTTGCTTTTGTTTGTGCTCTTCCAAAAAGGCAAGTGCATTGTGACTCCAGGACTCTGTGAGAGTTTCATCTTGAAGGCAAGGAAATAAGTAGAAACCAATTTGCTGAAAAAACACAAGTCAGAGGATTGCTGTGTCACTACCCTCAGTAAAACAGAGGCTGTCCCTTCCCCAGCTATTCCCACTGTGGATTGGAAGCCACACAACAAAATGCCACGCTTTAAGTTCTGCTGGCCTGCACACCTGCCCAGCTTGTCCATAGGACAGGTTGGCCCAATGCAAGTCACCAACAAAAGGTCTTACTTACAGGATAGGGCTGATTAAGAAGCAGAAAACAGTCCTTCAGAAAGCCTGGCATTTCTTGTTTCTTTGAAAAAGGAGGGTTGAGTATGACTTCAGCATGAATTATTTTAATTGGTGGTTTTACAGACTTATGCATAGGCATGAAGAAAGCTTTAGCTATTGGAATAGTCTCTTATTTCTAAAGTCTTCTGACTTTAAAGACTTAGTGGGAAAGAACATGTGAAACTGATATCTTCCAGGAACCACCATTCATTACCATTGTATCTGCATGGATGAATGACAAAAAAAGTTTTACAAAAGCAAATGAAAGGCTGTTGAATCATTTCCTATGTCATGCAGAAAACTGCACATCCATCAGGCAGGATTATCCAGAGGAGGGGCTGGGTTTGCAGGCTGCAGCAGTTGGGAGACTCAGAAGCTGGTTCAGCTGCTCTCAGAACGGAGCTGAGATGGGCACAGCACCCCAGGCACCCCCATGCCACTCCCCATCTCATACAATGACCTGGGCAGCTTCCAGTACTGTAAACTCCTTAATTATTTCAAACAGTAATTGCATGCAGAGTCAGAAGTACTTTCCTGTCATAGTTTGCTTAGTCAGGTTATGTACCAGTTCTGCACAGCACACAGTACAAAAAGCCTGCAGTGACAGAGAGCAGAGACTCTGAGAGGTCTTCCATTCTGATAGGAACAGGGTAGTTTAAAGCTCATAACACTGTTAAGAGTTGGCACATAGATAAAGGATTCACTTTTACTGCATGCGTTCTGTATCTATTACTTTCACGTATGATTCCAAGGAAATAATAATTCATTTTTACAACCTATTTATTTACCTTGTTCTTCCTTGCAGACTCTTTATAGACTTAAAATACCCTCCTTCCTATTTTCCTAAGAAGCTAAGCTGCTGATACTTTCAGGACCATACCAATATTAACTCTTGTCATTTGGTTTTTTTTTTGCTGCATTAGTTTTGGGCAATCTGTTTTCATTGCACGGAGCCACCAGATGATACCTCCTGATTCCATTACAGTTCTCCAAATCTCTCCCACCCTACTGAGAGACATGAGGTCCCAGCAATGTGTACGCACCACAGCATGTCCTTTAGGCCATAAACTTCAGCTGAACTAGAAACCCTATATACCCCTCTTAAGACTTGTCCTGGGCCAATAATCCACAGATGCCCTCAAGACTAAACATGGCTGTTCTGGCTTTGCCAGTCTGTATCACCAGTCTTATCTCCTCTTCAGATGCATCACTGCTTCTCCACAGAAATCAAAGGCAATGCCTCTGAACGGAGAAAAACACATCCTCCACACAACCAGGCAATGCGCAAAAATTGCAGAGAACTAGCAATGCTGTCAGCATAGGTGCTTGGATACTCAGTTCCCTGATAGGAAAAGCTCTTAGTGCCTGGAATTTCTGAGTGATTTTAAGCAAAAAGCAGGAAAACAGGTGACATATGAAACTGAATGTGTGTCCAGATGCTGTGCTTTAAAGAGCTAAAGACTTAGTAAGGAAGGGGTTAAAGATACGCTTGTGCTATAAGGCAGTGCTCCTTATAGAGTGATGTAATTTCAGGATGTTGTCCAGGCTTTTCTTTACAAATCTTGTCTTCCTGAGGGAAAGGAGGGTAATCCCTAGAGGGTAATAGGAGAGCACTGTCCAGCTTGTCCTAGTACAGCTGTATGTGTGAGGAGGAGAGAGCCCACTCTGTGCTGAGAAACACAGGTGAGCGCTCGTGCTATGAGCAAGCTCACTGTGGCGGGAGTTCTCACTCTCTCCTTCTCCCTTTTGGTCCACAACACAGTGCACACTGAGCCAACTTTCAGTGGTTTGCTACAATGCAGAATTATTTCTAGACACCTTCTCAGAAAGCTAAGAGAAGAGCTAACGAATGCTGTGGGATAGATAAATACCATGACAGGCATTTAAAGTAGCTTTTAAAATAACAGAAATTTACATATTTAAATTGTCTATAAATCTATAAATTATACACTATGTTATATTGTACATCTATTGTATGACAGCTGATGCTTTTGGAAGATGCTTGGAGAGAACTGTTTGTTCTAGGAATAGCACAATGGGCCATTCCAGTTGATGCTAACACTCTACTGGCTGTATCTGGTAAGAATTGCACGATTTAATGACTTTGTTACAAAAATTACCATAAAAATACATTACTGAAAAAAGAACAACATGTAAAGAATAACAAATTCCTACAGAACAATAGAGCATACCTGTCATTTATAAATCTATATTTAAATGCAAATAATGTTGTTTTGTTGTATTCATGACTGCTTGCATTGTCATTTAAATGCAAATTACTGTGTTTGTTATCATCCAAGAGAAGATTTTATATTAACTTTCATACAATATAGTCAGTTTACATGGAACCAGATAGACGAGTGTGACAATAGAGTGGATATTGATACAGAGGATTTTGTCAGAAATCAATATAAAATAAATGCCTTTAATATTATTTATTTCATCTCTTTCTGTTTTAGGCATGAACGGTGACAATACAGATTCTCAGAAGCTGAATAAAATTATTTCAGAAATACAGGCTTTACAGGAGGTTGTGGCTAGATTTAGACAACTTCGGCTAGATGCTACCGAATTTGCCTGTCTCAAATGCATTGTCACTTTTAAAGCTGGTAAGCAGAATCTGTTGCTCATCTGGTCTGATAACTATGAGGTTGCTACTTTAAAGCAACAATGATGCTTTAAACCAAACATAGCTTCATATCACGCAACAGTTTTCTCAGTATTGAATTCCAACAGTCAGTGTTGTATTTGGAGCACTGGGGAACTAATGGGAATGTCTAATATCCATTGATAGCACTAGCTGAACTGGTTTTGACCCATTTAAGAGTAAAGCTGAACTAGAATCATAGAAAGTTTTGGGTTGGAAGGGACCTTAAAGCTCATCCAGCCTCAACCCCCTCCTATGCACAGGGACACCTTCCATTAGACCAGGTAGCTCTAAGCCCCGTCCAGCCTGGCCTTGAACACTGCCAGGGATGGGTCAGCCACAGCTTCTCTGGGCAACCTGTGCCAGTGTCTCACCACCCTCACAGTAAAGAACTTACATCTCATTTAAATCTACCCTCTTTCAGCTTAAAGCCATTACTCCTTGCCCTGTCACTACAACCCCTTGTAAAATGTCCCTCTCCAGTAGCTAGTAACTGATCTGCTTTCCAGTGCCTACACACAGTGGTTCTGAACTGAGGAGTTTCCGAAATGCTGCCGCCATAGCAGCCCTTCAAGACGAAGCCCAGCTCACTCTGAACAGCTACATTCATACCAGGTGAGTAGTGTCTTCTCTCAATACTTATTGCAGGTGTAGGGGTAAAATCCTGCTTTCACTGTAGTGAAGGTGACATTTCCACTGACTGAAGTGGGGACTAGGCTGTTACAGCAAGTATACATTGGCTGTCAGCCTGCTGGTATTTCCTAATGAAACAGAATAATAGAAAAAGTTATGAAAGACTCTTAAGATCAAGTCCAATCATTAACCTAACATTGCAAGTCCACCACTAAACCATCTCCCCAAGCACTCCATCTACATGTCTTTTAAATCCCTCCAGAGATGGTGACTCCACCCCTTCCCTGAGTAGCCTGTTCCAGTGCTTGGCAACAGTTTTGATGAAGGAATTCTTCCTAATATCCAATCTAAACCTCCCCTGGTGCAACTTGAGGCCATTTCCTCTTGTCCTACCACTTGTTACTTGAGAGAACAGCCACCTCCTCACTACAACCTCCTTTCAGGTAGACAGCGATAAGGTACCTCAGAGCCTCCTTTTCTCCAGACTAAGCAACCCCAGTTCCCTCAGCTGTTCATCAGAGGACTTCTCCTCTAGACCCTTCACCAGCTTCATTGCTCTTCTCTGAATGCACTCCAGTACCTCAATATATTCAGATAAATTTAAAAGAGAGATCTTCCCTTGGGAAGTAATACCTGCTGTGGAACACTTTGAAGTTCAGAAGGCTACATTTTCCTTTACATTTTATTCAATTAAATACTGTTAATTGTGATGCTGAAAACCACATCTGATGGCAGTATGAGTATTTTTCACCAATGATCTCCAATCCCCATATAATTTCTACCATTTTGCAGACACAGAAATCAGGACACAAGGGAGTTAAATGGCTCTTCTAAGACACTATCCTGAGTCTGTGTTCAGGTTGAAATGAAAAACCCAGAACTTGTGAATCCCATTTTGATGCTGTAGCAGAGTGATGAAAATCATTGTTTGGGAAGAAAATATTTACCCTTGTCTCATTCAGCTGTTCTGGTTGGTTCAGGACCTGGGGGGAAAGATGCAACAGGTTTTGCAAAGCCCGTGTCTTAACTCCCTTAGCTGCAGTGGAAGTCCATGAACACTAGCACAGTGGGAGATGGAGCAATGGAAAAGATACTTTTATGCAATTTTTTTCCTTCTGCAGTTTTGACCTGTTCTCATAATAGCTCTGTCTAGCAGAAGTCCCCTTGGTATCAGAGATTAGATGGCAGCAGTCATTGAAGAACTTCTGTTTAGCCTATAGGGAATGGCCTATCATGGGGACAGAAGCAAAAATGCAAATACCATCCAGTTATGCCTCGTTGAGCAAAAAAAAAAAAAAAGTAGAGCAAAAAGAATAACTGCTGCAGAGCAACCTCTTCCTGTTCTTATGAAAGGCCTTTCCCATGAAGACTGCTCTCTAGGGTATCTGAGTGAGACAGGGCCTATTAGAGATAAAAGCCAGGGAGGAACAGTTTTGCATACCCATGGTCTCCATTCCAAGCATGGCAACTTTTCCATTGCATTTCTGTGTTGCTGGAAATACTTAGCTACTGGGCTAAACAGTACTTGTTGTAAAAGACATTCTTCTACAGGGAGAAAAGTGCAGTCCACTGACAGGACTGTTACACTGACTCCAAAGGGATAGGCTTTCAGCTTGCATTTCATTCTCAGGCTTGAATTTACCCTCCTGCCAGTGTTACAGCGGCATCAGCCCTTCGACCTCAGTGGAATTGCTCTCAACAGGACACAAGGAAGGCCAGACTGGAGAAGCAGAGTGTTTCTCCAAATGACCTTTTTCGGTCCTTCTTTTAGACAGAGCACGCACTGTAAGCAGAGGTTTGAGAATCATTGGCGTGAAGTCAGTGAAAGCACAGCTAGAATACATATCCTACGTTGTGCTAGCTTCAAAAGCTGGGGGAAAAGATGAGAAATATCCTATTACACACGCACAGTATCTGAGGATAAAATACAGCTTCTTTAACAAGAAAATTTCTTTCAAAATGTATGTAGCAACCAAAAGGGGGCAGAATGATTACCATGACAATCCAGCTAAGTTTAAATCACACTTTAAATGACAGGGTATTTATTACAGGTCAAGCTCTTCCCTGAACTGCATCAAGAACATTGTTGTTGTATGAGGGACAAGTCGGAGCAGATCTTGTCTCTGTATTGCTACCACTCTGAGGGAGTAAACAAAGGAGCTAATCAAAACTCCAAGACATTGGTCTACATTCTGCTAATCTCCATTAGGAGAGTTTTCCTCTGAATTAACCTTCTTGCTCACTTGCGTACGAACCACAGGGTTTTAGCACAGGTAGCACCCATTTGCACAATTTGTTGAATATTGGTCTTTTCTATAAAGTAAAAGATTTTCTTTGAAAAATAGACTTTAAATTGTCAATAATATTTTTCCCTCTCTCTGTCTCCCAGGTATCCCACACAACCCTGTCGTTTTGGAAAACTTTTATTGCTTTTACCAGCTTTACGTTCCATTAGCCCATCTACAATAGAAGAAGTGTTTTTCAAAAAGACCATTGGGAATGTACCAATTACAAGACTGCTTTCAGATATGTACAAATCCAGTGACATATAAATCACCTTAAAATAAAGCATCAGGATGGACAGTTTGAGAAGAACTTTAATCTATGGAGAAAAAGCCTCAACTAACAAAATCTACAGGAAGCATAAACCTGGGAATGTTTAGCCTTTAAACCCATTGACACAAAATAGATATGATTCTGCTGCTCTGAACAGAGTGATTTAGATCATGGAGAGAATGCTTTGTTCTATGGAAAAAGTGAAAGTGGTTGGAATTTGGCTGCTATTCCTGCTACTACAGGATGGAAGCAATTCAGATGCCAGTCATAGTTAACAAAGACTCCGCTATTCTCTCATTTAACTGGCAGATCTGAGACAAAATGTGAAAGAAGGTACTTTAGTTTGTTCAGTATTTGGAACCCGGTGACCAAACTTGGCTTCTGTTGTAACATGAGGTGCGGTGGCCTTCAGAATTGTTTTAAAAGTAGCCTATGTTGAGAAAATGTTTTTGATATGATAGGCAACGTTTAAGACCAGGTTACCAAAACATTGCTTCTGCTTATAATACATCATGAAGTGGCCTTCAGAACTGATTAAAAAGTAGCTTATGACAGCAGCTCCATTCATCCCTGCAAAATGAACTGGTGATCTTTGCTGCGGATATCACCACAATTTGTTTGGCTAACATCTCAAAGACAGAAGAGCATTATACACTCCCTCCCTGACCTTCCTCCCTTCTTCCACACACAGAGACATGTATTCGCAAACACACCTGAAAAGACACGAGTCAAGAAAGGAAGACTAAAACAGCAAAACCAAATACAATGGAGATGACTGCTTCAGTGACCTGCTGGCTGTCCCGTTGGCACAGTGCTGAAACCAAAGGCAATGGTGGCCAAACTCTTTGTCAATGAGATGTGCAGAGAAATGACTATTAAGAAAAAATAATCAATGGAAGGAATTTTATTTCGAAGAAATGAAGTTGTTGACTGATAAAATGCTAACAATTTCCAAAAGTCTCCAATGCCTTTTTAGAAAACTCCAGGTTCTAATTTTGAAGCCTTGTTCGCCTACACCCTCTCACACACAGTCATGTTATAAGCTGCTTATTTGATGTATAAAAAAATGTAGGAAAAAAAACATTTAAAGATAGCTGCTGTACTTTTCAAAATTTGAGTTGTTATTAGGAACTAGCACTGAGAAAAATCGGCACTCGGACTATCATAGAATGAGTAAAACTTTTCCTGTACAAAGTGGATTAACTGATTTGTGAAGTTAAAAAGTTGTACTCATTGTATTTACAAAGAATAAAAATATATTGAATTTAACTTACTTTCCACTGTTTATTTAACAATTGTCCTTCTGTTTCTGGATTAGCTTCCTCTCCTGTACCCTACTTGCCAAGAAACAGAAATATTCTCTACGAAAATGGATTGCCTTGGATGCTGCAGAGTCTCCACCATCAGAGGTTTTAAAAAGCAGGTTAGACAAACACTAAAGGATCAGATTAGGTGATCCTGCCTTGGGGCAAGCCATTTACTGTAATTCAAATATACCTTCTGCAAGGTTTTTTTCTCAGGAGCTGACACAAAGCTTTTTCTAGGACACGATACTAAGCAGATCAGAAGTCTAACCTAGTATAAGTAAGTCTTCTGTTTTGTGTTACTACAATTTTTAGTATAGGTGAATTGAACAGCTAACAAAGGCTGACGAGTACAAAAAGACTGCTTTGATTAAATGATGTTGAAAATGAACATGAGCCAGCAGTGTGCGCTCGCAGCTCAGAAAGCCAACTGTAACCTGGGCTGCATCAAAAGGAGCATGACCAGCAGGTCGAAGGAGGTGATCCTGCCCCTCTACTCTGCTCCTGTGAGACCTCACCTGGAGTATTGTGTGCAGTTCTGGTGTCCTCAAAATAAAAAGGACATGGAACTGTTGGAACAAGTCCAGAGGAGGGCCACGAGGATGATCAGGGGACTGGAGCACCTCCCGTATGAAGAGAGGCTGAGAAAGTTGGGGCTGTTCAGCCTGGAGAAGAGAAGGCTGCGTGGAGACCTCATAGCAGCCTTCCAGTATCTGAAGGGGGCCTATAGGGATGCTGAGGAGGGACTCTTCATTAGGGACTGTAGTGATAGGACAAGGGGTAATGGGTTAAAACTTAAACAGGGGAAGTTTAGGTGGGATATAAGGAGGAAATTCTTTTCTGTTAGGGTGGTGAGGCACTGGAATGGGTTGCCCAGGGAGGCTGTGAATGCTCCATCCCTAGCAGCGTTCAAGGCCAGGTTGGGCGAAGCCTTGGGTGGCATGGCAGGGGGGTTGGAACTAGATGATCTTAAGGTCCTTTCCAACCCTAACTATTCTATGATTCTATGATTAAAAACATTCTGAGGTTTTACTAAAGTGTTCATTTGTGTCATCACACCAAAGAGGTAAGCAGCTCCCAATGCACAGAACAAGTTGGCAACAGAATGGAAATATATCCTTCACGTGATAACGAGCCACACAGTAAAATGACAGGTGGAAGCGTACAGCATACATCAACGGCTCACTGGTTTTCAGTGTCAAGGAATATAGACCACAAGTGAAATCCTAGCTCCATTGACTCCAAATACAAAAATCTCATGCTTCAGAGGTCAGTTTTCACGCCAGCTCTATTCCATTGGCAGTCTGCTAGGGCTCACGTCCTACCCTTTCCAAGACAGCCAGACCATTAAGTATACAAGACTGGTCTTTTGATGAGTCAGGCGAGACAAAGCACAGGCTACAGGACCTGAAAACATCTTCTACAATAATTAGGATGGAGCACTTGTAAAAAGAACTGGACAGGGCAGAAAAATCAATTGTGGTTCTCCACTGTGTGACAATTCAGTTTATGAGCTAAAGAAGTTGAACCAGTGCTGTGCAGAACCCATGACAGAACAGTCATCAGTCATTTCAGTAAGATTCATGCTGCTGTCCCAGAGCAGCAGTAATGTCCTCTGCAGCGTGCTGTAGCCCTAGTCCTTAGATCACCCAGGCCAGAGGATGCAACACTGTACTAGCTTTCTCCCAGTTGCAAAGCAGCCAGGGCAATGCTCATCTCACCCTCTTACCTGCAGGACCTACCCCTTGCTACAGAGCAGACTCACAACCTGGGATCCCCTTGGTTGAGACACAGGTAATCTCAGGCCATGCCTTCCTCTCAGTGCTGCAGATTGCACAGAAGCTGAACCAGTTACAATACATTAGAATTAAGGTCTTTAGTTCATCTTGAAGGACTGAAGGCCAGGTAAAATCCCAGAGACCAGTGCAGACACCCAGTGTTAACCACTGAGGTTGACAGAAGTCCTCACTTTAGAAACAGCAATGTTCTGCCATCAAGCATACAGCTTTTCCCTCTTCAGCTTTTCGTGTTTTCCACAGCAAATGATAAAGACTGTGTCAGCATCTTTCAAGGAAAAGATGGGGCATATACTTTGGTTTCTGAATGAAGCTTCTCTCAGAAAAGAAGATTTGAGAAAATATCTTACTGTGTATCTAAACCTAAATAATAAAACTTGATAGGCATTTAGAACTTCTCCCCCATTTCCAAGAGTAACTCAATTTTACATGCAATTCAGTAAGCACATGGAATTTTAGCAGTGATTTTACATTACCAAAAACCTCTTGGAAAGCAAATCAGCTTTAGGCTGCAAGTGGGCTTTATCAGTTTTGATCCCCAATTTCATGAATAGAACTGCTGGAGAGATTCAAAGTCCTTGTTTAGTGTGAGGGAGAAAGGGCAATTATTTGAGCATCCAACTATTCAGTGTAGCTAGGTACTAGCACTACATATAATCCAGTTAGCCACCACTGTTGTGTCAGTGCAATCTTTTACACCCAGATTGCCATAAAGGAGGTTAATGGTTTTAGTGAAAGGAAACTAGTAACTTTGTCAGCAATGTTCTGTCTGTAAATGTTCTTGACAGTGATAAATAAGGAAAAAGCAGAGGAGCCACATCTAAGCCAACAGGTACAGTTACCAAATAGCACAAAATACTGTACGAGATTGCTACTAGCATGCTCTTGAATGTGATTTCATGACCATCTGGACAGGTCATGCCCTTGTCACATTTGGAGGCACTAAGGCACACCTCCAGCCATAAAAGCACCTAGTGAGAGAAAAAGACTTCAGCAGTATTGTTTGTGAGCTGCAGTTCAGGCACCAACCACCTTCATTTCACTGGTGGTTTTGCAAGTACAAATTCTACAGCTTCCCCTTCCTTTAATGCTCAGGGAAGTGGTCTATGAGCACATCTTATAGCATACTTGTATGACTTCATGTCCCTAACTGCGTTTGTTGAGAGCTACTTTAATCTAGGAATGAAGCTATAATGTATCATAGGTTATGTCAACATTCATTTCTCTGTAGGATGGTAAAACTTCCACTTGCTAGTTGAAGCTAGATTGATGCCTCTCATAGCTGGTAGGAAAGGTACTTTCTGAAGTTTACTGAAGCTATAAATCTGCTGACTGCCTATCACAAGCAGGGTTGCAGCTGTGGCTCCACAACACAGGAACAGCATTCAATATCTTTGTATGTTCTTTAACACTTGAGCAGCAAGCACAAACATCTAAGGGTATTTAGTGCTGTCTGTTAGTAACACAAGAGTGCACTGCAGAAGAGCATCACAGCAAGGCTGAAACACCAGTTCACTGACAGTCAAGTCCATGCTTCTCAGAAAATGTGATACCCCACATTCAAGGTCAAGAGTAACAACACATTTGAAGTGCATTTTCACTTTTATTTCAAAACTTTAGACAAGTTACTTTAGTATATAAATTTGATTTTTCCTCTTACAGAATATAAAGATAATTCCCTCATTACTTCAGTATAAAGTGTTTTATAAGCTTGAAGACATTTGCATAAGTGTTTCTCATACAGGGTATCAGAAATAAAGCAGTCTTTCTACACAGGTTCAGACAGATGACTACCTCAGAAACAGCATAGCAATTTAGTCAAATACAAGTGAACACGTGACACTACAACTGTAAGTTCAAGTAAGGCCAAGTCAGTAAACATTATAAGTCATTGCAAGTAAGAGTGAAAGGTTTGTGAGACATTGCAAGGGGTGGATGGTCTCATAGTATAATACTTTTAACTTGAGAATTCAGAGGGATTTAGTAGAAGACAAGTGTGTTCTTTAATGCTATAAAGCATATGCAAAGATCAAGCAGTGTACTGATGTTAGTGGAGACTTTGTGCCTGTTTATCCTCAGCATGCTAAGACAAACTACAACCTCTTAAAACCAAGCATAAGAACCACTAATATTTGAGAAGACAGTTTCAGAACTCAAGTATGTCTTATTTTGGATGGTGTGTAGTTTTTGTCTATTACTTCATCTTGTAAGAACATGTGAAGACAGCGCTCGTTCTGTGCCAGTGGGTGACCTGCAACCCTGGAGAGGAAAACACAAGCATTAGTGCTAACAAATCAAGCACACTTGCAGCTAGCAAGGTTTTACATCAGTAATATATGGCTCTGTACTCAGGCACAGATCTCACTTCCAGGTCACTGCTGGTGACTGGAATAATGTCTAACAGCAAGACTTGTCATTTTCTCCTAGATGAAATTAGTCCACGGGAACCCAGAGTTACCTCTTGATCACTCAGAAGCATGTTACTTCATCTGTCACCTGCAAATGAGAGGACTATCATCTTAGCATTAAGAAGCCTGAAGTTAAGCAAGCCAAGCAGATTTTTACAGGTCTTGATGCCTCTGACACAGGACACCCTTCTAAAGGCTGCTTAACCCCTCAGTCTCAGTCTAATTCAATAGCAGTTAGCCCAGGCAGAGTTAAAGACTTACTCCACCAGGGGGTGCGAAGGTCTTCTGAAGGTTCCCACACTACTTAGAGTAGTGTCTTACCATGGTCGCTAGTCCACGTCTGCATGTGCAAGCAGCACAGATGCACGGCCAGAGGGTATTGGCCACTCTGTTTATTGCAGTTATCTTTAGATATGAGACATAAGAGACATAGAGCTTGTCTGTGCTAGAAAAGACCAGAATCTCTACTGCAGATTTAGGTTTGTTCCACATAAAGACTCAGCCACCATCCTTTTAGCAGTAAAGCAGCTGAAACTCAATTAGAAGACACTCCAAAGCTCAGAAGAAACCCATAAGGTATACATTTAAACCTTAAAATGCAATGAAGCCTTCTGTGTAGGTAAGAATCCAAGAGAACCAGAATCCCTGGAAATTGATCACTTACAAAAACCTAAAACAGCTTTGTGTCAAAAAAAGTTATATCCAGTTTGGTCAATCAAGACAGGCTTCTTCCTTGAAGACAGAAAGCCTCTCATCCTTCC